GGGGGGTGGAACCAAACAAACCAAGCAAGACTATTAGGGCAGGACACGTATGAAGAGATTTTAGCAAAGGGTTGAGAATTAACAAATAGCAGAAGAGACATTGATTTGCAGGAGAAAAAAATGACTGAAAAAAGAAAAAAAAATTTCATTGTTAGAAAAAGTATACTCCTAATTGCCTGTGTTCCCATATTCCCACTGGGCAAGAAAGAAACCAAGGAAGACTTACGAGGCATTACTCTAGGAGAAGCCAGTCAGTGGAGACAGAAAATGAGAAGCGAGGAAGCCCCTTACCAAAAGAATTCGTCGAAGCTGTCTGGAGAGTCTAACTGAATTTTCATGCAGTCCCTCCCAGGCCTTGAATGTCCTTTCACGATTTTCCACAAAGGTGTTCCAGCAATAAAAATAATCTTTAAAAAAAAAAAAGAAAAGAAAAGAAACAAGAAGTTGAAGATAGTTTATGTGCCATCAATGCCATCTCATGATGACTCCATGTGTGTTAGAATAGAACTGTGCTCCCTAGGACGTTCATTGGCTGACTTTTGAGATGTAGGTAACTTCTGAATTACCTGAGTGGACCTGAACCTCTAACCTTTTGGTTAGCTGTAGAACTCTCTAACTGTTAGCACCGCTTTGGAACTCCTAAAAGGATGTCTTAGCAGGTAAGGAGTTGTGGTGCCAACATGATGGGAGGGAGTTTGGATCCACCAACTACCTTGTAGGAGACAGACAGATAATCTCCCACGCTTTTAGCCTCTGAAAACCCATCAGAGGGTCAGGTAGGAGTTGGTTCTGATTCAATGGCACATAACAACACAGGGAGTCCTAAGTAGAGGACAGCATGCTTGAAAACAGTTGAAGCCCCTCAACTGAGTTGAGCTGACTTGACACAGTGATAGTAGCGATGGACTTAACCAGAGCAGAGCTTGTGAGGATGGCACGCTCTGGCGGGGTTTTGTTCAAATGCATGTACCTGGGGCCACGAGGAGTCAGGGCCCACGTAATCACACAACAGGAGCTCCTGAATATCAAGTGTCCCTGAAGATCGAGTCTCCATAACAAAGGAAAACATGACTCCTTTGAGACTTTTATTTCCCTAGGGCCTTATCTCTTTCCCTTCAGTTCTAATGTACAGCTTTGGCTTCACAGATAAACCAGAACCTTGCTGCAATTCTTCCCCCTGAATTTCCTTAGTGACTCTTCTCGGGCTAAATTTCAACCTGGAAGGGTAGCTACTTCACTGAGCCCTTGCATGCAGAAGGATGTCCCCTCAGCACCTTTGAACGTCATGATGGCGATTTGGACCCCTGCACGGTGCAGCCGCCGCAGGCCCTCTGGCTCAGCCTTGCGGTCCTCGCAGAAGTAAAGGCGGGCGGTGAAGATCCTCAGGGTGAGGTTAGGGTATCCTCTGAGGAAGTCCGCCACATGCCGGGCACAGTCATAGCAGGGGCTCCAGGACGTGAACCAGGTGACACGGTAGCAGCGTCCAGGGTCCAAGTCCCAATCCGAGATGTAGCGGAGGAACAGCAGTTCCACGTGGCAACCGGACTGGGAAGAAGAAACAAGATTCAGGTGCTGCCATTGAATTTCTGGTAGCTTTATACTCATAGGTTCATTTCCCTCCCAGTGGTGTCTGTTTGCAGCCACTGCTCTCTTGTTACAGCGGTGTTAATCCATTTGCCTAAGTGACGTGAGCAGAAGCTTTGTGGAGTGGAGAAAGGTTGCTTTTTTGTGTGTTTTTTTGGTTTGTTTTTTTTAAGAATGAACACATTGTCTCCCTAGAGATTAAACTTGTGAAGTTCCTTTTTTGCACTTCTGAATGGAAAATGTCTTGGAAGTGCCTGATGTTTTAACATTATGGTAAATAATGTTAAGTAGGACAACTTGGGAGGGCAGGAAAAGGCACAGTAGATTCTAGAGAGAGACAAGTGGATGTTGACAGAGAAGTAATAGATACTGTGTGTGCTGTTTTTGTTACTTGCTTCCCCCACTAGTGAAGAGTAGAACTGCTTATCCATGGAGTTTCCACAGCGTTCTTCCTCATGGCCCTTTTATGGATTCTGTCAACCATGAACAGTCAACTACTTAACCATTTGTACCATGCAGGACTCCATGGCCCAAGAGAAACTAAATAAGGTGTTTGCTCAAAATAATGAGCTCTGTAATTATTAAAACAAACAAACAAACAAACCCACACCAAAACCAAACCCACAATAATGAAATGTCATTCATTCTCACATTACTCATTAGTCTTGGAATCTGAAGACCTGGGCTCCATTCCCAGCTCCACGGCTCATGTGATTTAGGCAGGTTACCTTATCTTCTCATCAGATCATTTGGAAACCAGAACTCTGAGTCCTTACTGATTTTCCCTCCCCACTAAAGTGTTTCCTTAATTTTCAAAAATTCCAAAGATCTTCTTTTTCATGTTTAAATTTTAGCTTAAGTAAGCTGTTGTTCTTTCCCTCAAATTCAAATGTCTTTACCATTATGTCCTCAATCTCTAGGGCAACTCAAGTGTCGCTGAAAGGGGAGGGACATTGGTGAAGGCAGTAAAAAAAAAAAAAAAAGGACAATACTTGCTATGTCTGGTGTATTAGACGTGGAAAAAGGAGAATTTGAGGTGTAGCCAGAGTGCTCTTTGGAGGCAAAGATGATAAAGCTTCGGTTCATATACTTTGGGATATTGCTAGGAGAGGCTACTCCTTGGAGAAGGATATCATGCTTGGGAAGCTGAAGGGACTAGGAGAGGAAGACTCTCAACCAAGTGGATTGACACTGTGACTGTGGCAATGGGCTCAAGTGGGCACAATCCCTCTATGGGGTTGTAAGGATGGCAGCAGATAAGCCAGGGTTCAGATCTGTTGTTCATAGGGTTGCTATGAGTTGTATTCGACTCGAGTCAACAACAGTGAAGGGCACAAACAAATATGTCTTGGAAAAAGTGCAACCAGGGTGCTATTTCTTGGTGAGGCTGGCAAGGCTTCCTCTCACCTACTCTGGGCATAGTTTCAGGAGGGTCTGGTATTTGGAAAAGGATATCATGTTTAGAAAGGTGGAGAGTTAGTGGAAGAGAGGAAGACCCTCAACAAGATGGATTGACACAGTGACAATAACAGCGAGCTCCAGTATATCTAATATAGTGAAGATGCACAGTGTAGGACAAGATTCAAATCTGTTGTTCACAGGAGCGCTGTGAGTTGTACTCCACTCCAACGCACTAAACACGAGTGGAAAGAAAGGAAGAAAGAGGGAGCTCTGGTGGCCTATTGGCAAGAAGCTGTACTGCAATCCCAGAGGTACACTGTTCGAATCCACCAGATCCTTTGCAGGAGGAGGAGGGGCAATCTCCTCCTGTACCAGTAAGATCTGATTTTACAGTACACACACAAAAAAATTTAAAAAGAAAAGAAGAAAGATGGACCATCGCCTCCCTTGTACTACTTACAACTTCTGAAAACACGCTGGAGAAGCAATGACTCAACAGCAATGAGTTTGAGAGGAGACAGCTGTTAAACAACTAAAAGTAGTACCACTTGCAAGTGGCTCTAAAAGCTTTTGCTGAAGGTTTCCCTTTATCTGCCTGTGAAGGAAGCTTTGATACCTTGTTGCGAAGGTGACCAAAGTCCAATGAGAAGGAGGTGGCGCTGTCCCGCCGCTTCACCACATAGCACAGGTAGGTCTCGTGCCGACCCTTGGCCCAGCGGACGTTTTTGAAGTGGTAGAGAAACTTTCTCTGCTTCAGCAGGAGGCTGTGGGTGAGAAAAGAAGAAATGCAAGGAATATAACGCGTTCTCCGACTACTCCTGGCATACTTTCAGCTTTTTTCCTCTCCACTGGACAAACCAAAACTGTAAATGAAAATGCTTTGCTTCCTTTGCTGAACACCTTAGATCAACTGAGCTTAGAAAGCTCTTTTCCTGCTTATATGAAATAGGCTGAATGAGAGCTATTGAGCTAGAACCCCAAACCTTGCCTCATAGGACCATCTCCTCTACCTCTGTATAATATGCTGGAGTGGTGTCTCCAATGTTTGTCACTGACAGTTTCCAAAAATGTATTTGTTCAATTTGTGGGAACAGTGCTGCCCCCTACAGGCCTAACGAGTACGGAGTAACTAACGTAAAGGCCTAGTTAGGAATTTGAATACAGTTTACTGGCAAGAGAAGTGAAACTTTTTTTTTTTTACGTTGAGGAATAATACATACACTAAATGTCATTCTTTTAAAATGTACAATTCAGTTGTTATTGGAATGTAAACACCTCAAATTGCTACCATAATCAAGATATAGAACATTTCCATTTTAGGATTCCCCAAAAGATCTTTTATTCCTCTTCTTCTTTACCAGGATCAATCACCAATCTGTTTTCTATAATTTTCTCTTTCTAGAATGTCATATATTCATTATCTACTCCTTTGTGTCTGATTTCTTTCACTCTTGAGATCAGTGTTTCATGTACCAGGAACTTGCTCCATTTTGCTGCAGGATAGTATTCCTTTGAGGAGTTCTGGTAGCCTAGTTGTAAGGAGTTGTGCTGCCAGCCCAAAGTTACTCAGTTCAAATCCACCTGCTGCTTCGCAGGAGAAAGATGGGCTATTTCCTCCCACGCAACTTCCTGCCTTTGAAAATGTCCTGGAAGATCAGCTCTGAGTTGGTTCCCACTTGATAGCATATAACAACAAACAGTATTACATTGCTGGGATATGGCAGGTATTATCCTGTCATTAGATGCATGGATTGTTTCCAGTTTGGGGATAGCAGTGTTGAAATACTTGTGTGCCAGCTTTTTTTGTGGATGTTTACTGGGAGCTGATATTTTAATAGTGAAATACACTAGTATTCCACGACTTTAAAATTTTGCTACCAAAATTTTCCAAATGTACTAGGGATATTATAGCTAATGTTAGATGCATCTTGGCAGAAAGCAAAGAAAACCAGAAGAATGTCTGTCTGTGCTTCATTGACTATGCAAAGGCTTTTGACTGTGTGGATCACAAGCAGCTGTGGCTGACTCTGAGAAGAATGGGAATCTCAGAACATTTGATTGTGCTTATGTGAAACCTATACTTGGACCAGTAGGCAGTCATCAGAACCAAGCGAGGAGACACTACATGGTTCAAAATCAAGAAGGGTGTGCATCGGGGATGTATTCTGTCTCCATACTTTTTCAACCTGTATGCAGAACAGATCATCTGAGATGGTGGGCTGTACGAGGAGGGATGTGGCATCAGGATTGGTGGAAGAGTTATCAACAACCTGCGTTATGCAAATGACACAACCCTGCTTGCTGAAACTGAGGAGGACCTGAAGTACTTGCTGCAGAAGGTCAAGAACTGCAGCCTCCTATATGGATTGAAGCTCAGCATCAAGAAAACAAAGATTCTCACCACTGGACCAACTGGCAGCATCAGTATGGATGGTGAAGGGATTGAGATAGTTAACAGTTTTAGTTTACTTGGCTCCACAGTCAACACTCTTGGTAACAGCAGCCAGGAAATTGCATTGGGAAAGTCAGCTGTGAAGGACCTCTCAAGAGTACTGAAGAGCAATGATGTCAGGCTGGAGACTAAGGTGCACCTGATCCAAGCTATAGTCTTCACAATTATGTGCTATGCATCAGAGAGTTGGACAGTGACTAGAGATAATAGAAAGAGAATTGATGCCTTTGAGCTGCGGTGTTAGAGAAGAGTGTTGAACATACCATGGTCTGCTAGGAGAACAAACAGGTTTGTCCTGGAGAAAGTGAAGCCAGAATGCTCCTTGGAGTCAAGGATCCTGAAGCTTCATCTGACATACTTTGGACATGTTGCAAGGAGGGATTGTTCCTTGGAAAGGGACATCATGTTTGGCAGAGTGGAGAGGCAGCGCAGGAGAGAAAGACCTTCGATGAGATGGATCAATTCTGTGAGTGGAGTGGTGGGAATGAGTGCATTTGAGATGGCTAGGTTGGCACAGAATAGAACGGAGTTTAGCGCTCTTGTACATAGGGTCACTATGAGTCGGAAGTGACTCAATGGCACATAGCAACAACTACCACCAAAATTTTAACTTTTAAGTAGATAAATAAAGGCAAGCATTTCTGTTTCAATTTAACTGTTTTTTTAAGTTTTATGACTCATTAAAACTGTATTTTCAGAGGAAAATTTTTACTAATTGTTGCAAATTAACTGTCTTTTCATACACATGAAATTTATTGGAAAACCCTTTATACCCTAAGAACTAAATCTCTCACTAGTATACACATTATGGGAGCTCTGGTGGCCAAATGGCAAGAAGTTGCACTGCAATCCTGAAGGCAGACAGTTCGAAGCCACCAGCTAGCTGCTCCACAGGAGAAGGAAGGGCAATCTCCTCCCATTCTATTAACTGCCTCTGAAAACCTGCTGGAGGGCCAGCTATGGGTCAGTCTGACTCAACAGTACACAACAGCAACATACACATTATGAGGGGACTATGGTGTCTTAGTGGTTAGGAGTTGTGCACCTAACCAAAAGAGGTGAATTATGAACCCAGTAGCTGCTCTGAGGGAAAAGGGTAAGGTAATCTCCTCCCATGCAATTTACAGCCTCCAAAAACCTGCTGAAAGGTCAGCTTTCAGGGTACATAACAACAAAGAATATACACATTATGAATATCAAGCAATTTTAAAACTTCTCAACCAACTTACCGTGTTCCCTTTTCTCACTTAAGAAATTTGGTAGGAATCTAAGATGACTAGTGACAAAAATCCAGTAATAAATACTTGGCTCTTTTTTTAAAAAATTAATTTTAATGAAAGTTTACAGAGACTCAGGGTGTCCAGTCATTCACTGTTGCACTTTTCTCTCTACCCACCCTCTCCGTCCCCAATTCATTCTTCCTTGAAAAGAAAGAAAAACTTTCATTGTTATGCAATCCCTCCCCCGCCCCCAAATTCACTCCACTATGCAGCTGGTTCTATTCTTAAGTGACAAGAATTTAGCATGTAAATCAATATAACACCACCATCATTATTATCATAGTTATTACACAATTGGCATATATAATTGTAAGGCTTTATAAATACTATACAATAAGGAAAAAATAAGTATATTCTATTTCTGTGTCTAAACAGTTTTAAACAGGTTAAGCATCATCTCTTTCCAATAAACCTTAATACACTGGACTGCTTTGGTGAAAGAGGAAGAAGGAAATGCCTATTATTACAAAGAAGAAAAAGTATCTTGGGGGTATAGAAGAAGAGACCATGACATTGCATTTCAAATGGACTTTTTTTGGCCTTGTCTGTAGGAAGTTACACTGCTAACCCAAAGACCATTCCTCCCTTGAGGTTCGCAGCTCCAAGGGAGATAATTGGTGATCTCTGGACAGTCTTCTCCCTATACAATCTGTGGCTTCAGAAACCCAGTGGAGGGAGGGTCAGGTATGAGTCAGTTCCAACTCCGCAATAATAAATAGTTAGAGTATTCGTCATGAAAATACAATTGTCCCTAAGTTTTTCTGTCACAGTGAAATGAATTGCATGATCGGATCCTGCTAATTTTCTTGATCTACACTTTTCCTTCTACTCTACTCCAGCATGTTCTTCTCTTGGTCAAAACTCAATGACACTGAGCGGTTCTAATTCATAGCTACCCTTCACTGGGTTTCCAAGGTTGTAAGTGCGTGGGAAGAGAGTTCCTATCTTTCTTCCTCAGAGTGGCTCATACATTCAAATGACTAAAACCATACAGCCTTTGTGTTAGCAGTCAACTCTCTGCTCATTATACCACCAGAGTTCCCTCTTTTCCTTGGTGGAAGTGTAGAAAAACCAAACTCAAACCCAAACCTGCTGCCATTGAGTCAGTTCTCAATTCTGACTCATGGCAATCTATGTGTTTTGAGAGTGAAACTGCGCTTCATCGGTGCTTTATTGTGATCTAGCTGTGATCTTTAAGGAAGCACGTTGCCAACCAAGCTCTTCTTCCCTGGCACAGCTGGGTGATTTGAACCAGTAGTCAGTGCCAAACTCCATGCCCCAGTATGGACTTTTAGGGATATAAAGGAGCTTTCCCTCTACTCCGTATTAAAAACGTTGTAGAAATAATTTTTCTTTTTTTTTTTTTTAAGAAGTAATTTTTCAAGACCGCTTAGTAACAGCTGCTCTGTACAGCTGGGTTCCCTGAGGCAGAACACAAGCTCTGTCCTCAACAATGCAAACTTGAGACAATCAGGTTAAGAATAATCGTGACAGAGTTGTCCACTATGGAATGCTGTCACTAATAAACACCACAGATATTCTTCTTCCTATTGACAAGTTCCCTTTTTCCCTACTTATTTTCATTTTCCCCTTCTGTTATTTGTCTTCCTCTGAATCTCAACTGCTGTTCTTACCATCTCTTTACATTTCATTATACACCAAGTATCGCCATTGTATGGTGTATAATATTCATTATACACCAAGTATCTATACCTGTGACAGAGTATCGTTGACTGGTACATCAGGTTGTTTTTTTAAACAATTGTCAAAAAGTCTCTGTAAACTGAGGAGACCATTTGTCACTATTTATCCCCAAGAAAATTATCTGAAGAGCATTTAATCTATCATTTAAAATGTTAACTCTGTATCATGTAAATTCTATATAAAAGCATTAAATTGATATAAAGTTTATGGAGCAGATGTGGTGTTAATGTATTTGCAATGATCATAAAAGTTGGAGTAAAATAGTTTTATGATAGTACCTTAATTATAATAAATTCATGTGAAGATATTGTGAAATTGCTATAGAAGC